AGAGATTGCAATGAAGGAACACAGAGGTATAGAATAGAGTTCAAAGGAGTTCCATTACAATAAAAATAGAGCTGACAGCATACAAATTTTGCAGTTTTAACTAACAGGCCTCAAACACCATATAATCATAGCAGGTAGTAATCAGAGGTAACCCAGTTTGAAGAAAATAAGAACAGAAGCAGAAGTAGGCCACCCAGATAGATAAGAGTAATGCAAGTTCACATAACCAACATGCCTTAGACTAATTAGGTAAATAAGCATGGAGTCATAGCTGCTCTAAGTTTACAAAAGTACCAATGAAGCAAGGCAAAATAACAACAGCAGCCTAATCAATAATCATCAGTCCTTGAACAACATAAAGGAGATAGGTAACAGACATGGAAGACAGAAATGAGTAAGACACAACAGCAGCTCATCCATCAGGTAGGTGTAGTCATCATAGGCCTAAGTTGGGCGGTCATAGTGGGCAGTTTTTCCCCCTTCATCCATAGTCCAACCACCAAGATAACAAGTGAGGTGATTAACACCTTCTTCCACCAACCACCCTTACCATTACCATCAGAAGGAGGAATGATTGGAGGAAAAGCATCATGAGGGATAGGATCATAGGGGAGGGGAGGTGCTGGTACATGAGATGGATGAACATCTCTCATGGCTGCCTGATAATCTCTAACAACCTGTTCATAGTTGCTATACTTCTTGTATATAGCATTTCTCACACCAAGAACATGCCTACTGCATTCCTGCCAACTCAGGTAAATCACAGGAGACTTCCCATTAAAAACAACATAGTATGGTCCCATTTCTATCAAATGAAACAGTGCTTTAGCCTCAGTCAAATAGAAAGCATGAAACTAGCCATGATTGTGAAACTTAAAGATCAAGGGTTTGTGGTGAAACAAATCATTGATCTTATGTTCCTCACCGATGACCAGCATCATCAAGTTCAAATCAACAGTTGTGACATCACAGGCAATGTAACAACAGATTGGCCTCCTCTTTAGGATCAGGTGGTGTTCATCATGTTGAAATCATTGGTGGCTGCCATAGAAAATAAAAACTAGCAGTGAAGCAAATCCAAGTTCATGGCTGCCATGGAATCCATGTGCACATCCATACACTGCCATCAACACTAGAAAGAAGGGGCTATTGCTAGGGTATGGATGAGTCTCATGGATTTGATGACAAACATGAGAAATCAGAATAATCAAGTGCAAATTCAGGGTCATGACTGCCATCGAACCCTATTGTGCACATCCATTCACTAGCAATAGCATAAGTGAATGGATGGGCACACATAGGGTTCCATGGCAGTGATAAAAAACTAGAAGAACCAATTAAACAAGGCAACCACCTCATGAATTTGTTGTTTGCATCATAGGCCTTATAAATTTCCCACAGTTACCACCAATGAAAAGAAACAAAACCAACATGACAGAAATAGAGCCAACAGTTCCATGAAATAGGAGGTAAACATAAGCTTTGCCCATGTGACATAGGCATGCAACAACAGCATCATCAATCATATATGTCGCTACCAATTTGTATGGCTAAGTTTCATGGCCAAAGACAAGGTAACAATGATAGATAATGTAGTAAATAGAGCCAAAAGAATGTAATGCAATGTAAATAAAAGAAACCATGAGTAGTACCAAATTGAGCAGCCTAACAGAGGCCACCGATTGTGCATTACAGATAGCAAAGACAACCTCACACATGTAGGATCAAATTAAGGTCCATCTTGCTTCATGTTACCTATAGTCACCACCCTCTAACTACACTAACCCAAAAGGATGGGTGTGAATCAGCCAACTTGAAAGCCCTTGTTTGGTTTTGGATAATTGATGAAACCTAGGACTAACCTTTGATCTAAGTGTGTGAATTAGATAAGGTGGTCCAATCCAAGTGGTGAAGCTAGATGATGGTCATGGTGAAGGTAATGGCCACAAAAGAGATGATCAAGTGCTTCACATTTGGAAAAGAAGAAAGAGAAAAATAAAAATGGGCTCAACGCAAATATATATTGATAGGAGCCATTTTTGTTTCACACTCAAGACACCATAGAGGGTGTGAGTGATCTAGGATCGATAGCCGTACTATAAAGAGGGGAGATCTTTGGCTAAACAGTTTATCGAGTGCCACTAGGTGACATAATTCTTGCATAAACATTTAGGAACCCAGTGCGCTAACATGTGACCCTTGTAAAATGCTTTGAAAAATGATAACACACATGCACATAAGTTCTACACTTTATGGTTAGCAAGTTGGAAGCAAAGGTGAAGTGGTTGTGGAGATAGAAAAAGAAAATAGAGAAGACAGTAGTGACCGGACTCAGGCGCCGGGGTGACCGGACTCACCCCGGGCGCGTCCGGTCAGGCAGCACAGAAGAGGAGGCATTTGACCTCATGACCGGATGCTACAGAGGCAGCGTGACCGGATGCACAGGGGGCGCGCCCGGTCACCGTGACGTATGCTGGCGTAAGGGTCATGAGTTCGCAGCAGAAGAACTGAGTACTGACCGGACGCGTTGGGTCAACAAAATACCTCTCTGGAACCTTACTAGAGTTGATCGAACCTTGGAAGAAGAGCGTCTAGTCATTTCTAACATTGAGTCCAGTTGTCACTTAACACACGAGCGGCTAAGTGTTGACCGTTGAGATCAGTCAGCTGAGGTTTAAACACGGGGGACACGTGGCTGCATCCGAGCGATCGGACGCTGGCGCGATGCGTTCAGTCATCACGACCGACATGTCCGGTCAGTACGCAGAGGCACCCCTTTGAGCACAACGACTCTATTTCATTAGGGGTGCCTATATATAGTGTTTGACTAGCTTGGGGCTCACTCTCTCGGCACTTTGACATACTTGACATCCTTGTAAGCCTAGGTAAACACCTCCTACTCATCTCCATCCTTGATTCATCATCATAGTGAGATTAGGAGTGATTCCTAGTGCATTTGCTTGAGTGATTGCATTTAGTGGCACATGAGAATCGTTGTGGCTGTGAATTTCTTGTTTCTCTTGGTGGTTGCCGCCACCTAGACAGCTTGGAGCAGTGGAGGAACTTCGGCACGAGTTGGTGATTGTTCGTGGCCGACTCCGATGATTGTGAGGGGTCCTGCACCTTCCCCAGCGAAGGGCCTCAAGATAGCTCTAGTAAATTGCTCGTGTCATTGAGTTACCTCACTTGTGGGTAGGTTCTTGCGGCGCCTCTTATGGTGGGCTAGGTGTGTGATACCTATTAGCCGCCAAACCACCAAGTGTTGGCCGACACAACAGGGACTAGCGTGCCGGCAAGCACGTGAACCTCAGGAGAAAAATCGGTTATCTCTTGCCCTTTGTATTCTCCCGTGATTAAATTGGTATTCATCTTGTGATTGGTTCACTCCTCTACGTAGCGGTATAATCACCTCGCTCACTCATTTACTTTCCCGCAAACTAGTTGAAGCAAGCTCTTTAGTGTAGCTAGAATTGAGAGCTTGCATTGTAGCTTAAGTTCATCTTGTGGAGCTCTTTAGTGTAGCAATTTTGAGAGCTCTTAGAGAGTAGCAACATAGCCTCTTATGTGCCTAGTGATTATAGCAACTAGAATTGTTGGATAGGTGGCTTGCAACCCTTGTAGTGCTAGAGCAAGTTTGCATTTCGCTATTTGTCATACTAACCAAATTGCTCTAGTGATCTTGTAGATTTTAAATAGGCTATTCACCCCCCTCTAGCCATATTAGGACATTTCAAGCGGTATCAGAGCCGTGGTCACCATTTGATTGAAGGCTTAACAACCTCGGTGTCAAATTATGGCTCAAGTTGTATTCAATCATGTGGAGGGCAAACCACAGTTCTTTGATGGCACATGCTATGATTATTGGAAGAGAAAGATGAAAATATATCTTGGTTTAATCAATGACTAAGTGTGGGATGTAACCGAGAGTGACTATGTGATTCTTGATCCAGACAATCACACCAACACCGATAAGGCCAACAAGCAATGCAATACAATGGCTTTCAACACCATCTATAATGTCATTGATTCCAAGGTGTTTGAACAAATCAATGATTGTGAGAAAGCTAGTAAAGTGTAGAAGAGATTAGATGAGACCTATGAGGGCACACCAGCGGTGAAGAGTGCCAAGCTATACATGCTCAAGGATAAGTTGACAAGCTTCAAGATGAAGGATGACGAGAGCATTCCAAAGATGTTCCATAGGTTGCAAGTAATTGTCAATGACTTGAAGGCTTTGGGAGTGAAGATCAATGATGATGATGTCTCTCATCGGTTTTTGATGTGCTTACCTCCTAGATTTGAGACATTGAGATTGATCATTATTAGAGGAGGATTGAAGGAACTCACCACTAACCAAGTATTAGGTGATGTCATGACACAAGAGACATACCGTATGAAAATGGAGGGGGTTGACAAGGATGATAAGAAGGAAGATGAAGACAAGAAGAAGAAGAGTGTAGTATTCAAGGCTAGCTCATCATCCAAGAACAAGGGCAAGTCTAAGAAAGAAAAATCAAGTGATGATAAAGATGCTAGTGACATTGATGATGAAGCCATGGTTCTCGTTGTACGCAAGTTTGGAAGATTCATGAAGAAGAAGGGTTATGGTGCGAGAAAGAGAAAAGACAACAACAAAAGCAAGGAATATGTGAGGAGATGCTACAATTGCAAGAGTCTCGATTACGTTGTAGTGGATTGTCCCTACAATAATGACAATTATGAGGATGAGAAGAAGGACAAGAAGGAAAAGAAGGAGAAGAAGGAGAAAAAGATAACCTTCCAAAAAAAAAAGAGTGAAGGCTATATAATTACTTAGAATAGTGATAGATCTTCGGATAGTGATGCCTTTAATGATGATGACAAGAAATCTACGAAGAAAGCGGGCCAGCGCTAACACACGCCCACAAGCGTGCTCGTTTCCCTCACCGTTCACCGTTCAAATTTCTTCTTCACGTTTCCGCCCACGAAGAGACAGGATCACAGTAGAGCCCGAGTCGGCCATGGCGAGGCCGAGAGCTACCACCAACGCAGCCTCCTCCAAGCCGAAGCCGAAGGCCAAGCCCAGCTGCCCAGGTCCAGGGCCAAGCTTAAGGTGGCGACGCCCAGCCCCGTCTCCCTGCTTTCCTCCGGCGTCTCCTCGCCTTCCGCGTGCCGCACGCCGTCCCCTGCCGCCGCCGCCGACCTCAGCTTCCGCCTCTCGCCCTCGTCTCCGCCGGCGAAACCCGGGACCAGGAATTCTACGCCCCTCGTCTCCCCCGCTGCCACGTCCACCATCGGAGACCTGAGGAGCCTCGCCGCGTCCCACCTCGACTCCCTGAAGCGCCGCCTCGACGCGCTCCACGGCGACTGCGTCCGCGACCTCGAGGCCTCCCACTCCCGCATTTCCAAGCGCGTCAAGGTGGCTGGTCTCCGTTCCCTGCATCTGCATACCTCGCTCTCTCATTTGGTTGCTTCGTCGAGTTCATCAGGTGTGATGTACTGATGTGATGACTGATGTTATCTTCTCCCCGCGTGCCCTGCGCTCAGATGCAGTCCCATGGCTGCCTGCAGCTGGCGGAGGAAGTGGAGAAGGAGCAGAAGAAGATGGCCGACAAGATCGCCGAGCATGCCGAGTTGGTGAAGGTACCCCCGATCTCGTTCCTTGCGTGCGTTTCCTATTGCTGTTCGTCATAGACGTAACTGACTCTGTTATTGATTGGTCGCTTGTTGATCTGAATTTTCTGGTGCTTTCCGTGAATCGCAGACCTCGTACAAGAAGTTCGTGGCTGAGGTGCAGGCATCCACATCTCGTGGTACTTTGCAGACGGAAACAACATATTATCTGAATTTCAGTTCAGTTCCATGTGTTTCTCTCCAACAAACATGTTTTGTTCTAACTTTGGTGGTGGCGACCAGTGTGCAAGGTGACCGTCCCTGAGATGGCGAAAAGTCCGTGGAGAGGAGTATTGAGGGCTTGCGCAATCGCTACAACATCTCCGCTACACCATCAGCTTAGCTTAGCGGATGATTCGGGCTGTGTTCATACGAACTGAGTAGGTAAAATCATTTATCCACATGTTGTTCACTGCCGTATATCTGATATCTCTAGTGATTGTTGAGTGTCGAAAGGAGTAGCACGTACATCGGTACATGTGATGGATGATGGGTACTGCTCTAGTGCTCTGGCCCTGCGTGGAGCTAGATCATCATGCTGGGGTGGTGGAGGATAGTGTTGTGTGATGTCCTGGTGCTATATTAGTGTTGTTTGTATGCTTGATTGACGAACCAATAATATGGGTTACCAAACTGGTGTAGCTGGTTATACTGCTGGTTGACAATACCATGCGCTCTGAGTTTGTGTGTTCGGAAAAGAAACTTGGATATGTATTTGCTTCGCCGTCTAGAATTGTTTTTGAAAACACTGTTAGGAATTTTGGTTTCGGAACAACCACTAGCCAGTTTGTCAAATACTGTAAGAGTTTCTGACTTCATCATTCGAAATTTGATCAAAAGAGAGGCGAGAGGAACTTGTCCATGTCAAGAGCTAGAATATTCTAGACTTTAGCTTTTTTTGGCATTATTCTAAGTCTGAACTCCTATGGTTTAATTTCATAAATCAGAATCATGTCATTTACTGGATGTAGCAATTGCGCTTTCAACAATTCCAGCATAACACTGTAGGCACATAACATATATTAAGGATCTATTCCCTAAAAAATATAAATCAAGGTCCTTAAATTGCTTGGAAGTGTCATTATTATTTTTTTGCTTGAAGGTGTCATTACGCCAATGTTGTTGGGATTTTTTTTTGGTATGCATGTTCTGTTGTCCAAATTTAATTTTCTAACAAATGGGTTTGCGAGATGTTCCTAGTTTTTTTTTCTCAAAAATATCTACCTTGTTCTTCCTTCCTGCCAATTTTTATCAGAACTGAATAATTAAATGTTATAATGGCATGCATTGTTACAGTTCCTTAGAACACTGATAGCCAGACTCTCGTTTGATGTTTGTGTTGCACGCAGTAGTCAATCCCTACCTGGCTGATGCTTGTTTGTTTATTCTTGATCAGGTGCCGTTATCCACATCAATTGAGGTCAGCTGTTGAGTTCTTCGATCGGCTTCGCAGCAGGGACATGCACATTTGTAGTACATAATATATAACCATTGCACGGGTACATGAGATAGTTCTTTGCTACATCTCCATTTTTCAGATATCCCGAAAAATGAATAATAGTTACTCCGATCCTTGGAACCTATTTTTGCTTCGTTGCATTTCTTGTGCATCCCGTAAGATGCTACTGTCGATGTACCTTCCAGGATCAGAACATCTCAGATTTGAATCATGTTTGTTCTAGTAGTACATTAGCTATCGCCTGAAGCCTGAATGATCAGTTGTCATATGAAAATTCACAACCAAAACTTCAGCTCTTGGTTTGTTCTCCGCAGGGGTAATTTCATTTTTTTTTGACGAAAAGGGGTAATTTCATTTCGTACCTGTCAGTTGATTTTCACTCGGTTGATTTCGTAGGATGTTTTAGTTGGTAAGTTTGAATGAGAAGTATAAAAGCGCAGATTAGCCACGCAGCTTGGATACGCCTTTTCCCGTCTTGTGCTATCACAATGCTTGGGTTGGGTTCGTTCGTCCGTCAGGTGCTGCTGCTGCGAAGCAGTGAACACTGAACAGCGTCACAATGCATGGGTTGGGCCGAAACGAGTTGTATGGGCTGGGTGGGTCACTGGGTGGAAATGGGTTTCAATAGCTAGCGGGCCGGGGCGGGTTGGGTTCACTGCAAATGCGGGTTGGGGCGGGTCGGACTGGGTTACCCTGGGCACGTCGGGTCGCTGCTGTCCGCTCCCGGCTCCCGCAGAAAGGGAGAGGCAACGCCGCCGGCCCGCCGCCGCCGCCGCCGTTCCCGCGGGACCTCCTCCAACGACGTCGTTGATCCAGGTGCGCCTCCCTCCCCCCCATCTTATCCCCCGCATCATCCCCTTCCCTGCCGAAGTACGCGCCCAGCTCGTATTTCGCCGCGCCGCCACCCTGGCCGCCGGGAGTTGCTACCGGCGGGGACCCGTGCTGGGGTTGCGCGGGTGCCACCCCACCACCTTCTTGGCGCCGCGTCCCTTGTATTTTATTCCGTAACTAAGTGAGGATTTTGGGGGCATCGATTTTTCATTTTTCTCGATCTGTTTTACAATTGTAGCCCTATTCTTCCTCCATTATTATGAAGATTGGCCCCAGTGCTGGTAGTCTCGCTTAGTCTTTTACAATTTTGCATGTACATATCGGCTATGGGTGTCTACCGGTCTAGAGTCCTTTTTTTTTTACATAAGTTTCAGCATAAGCAGTAAGTTACAAGTTCACAGGATTCTCTCTATCTCTATCTCTGATATTTTGTTTTGGATAAATTAGCCAAGTTTAGTGAAAGATAGTTCACTCTGAACTCTGAAGCACAAACTCCAGGAAGTTAAACTGTAGTTTTCTTTCAGTTTCAGCGCTGGTAGTGTGGCATCTGCATTTCTGTTTTTTCTTGATCTGGTTCCGCTGCATTGCTATGAACAGTGTGGGTGTGAGTTGCATGGAGTTGAATATCAGCAAATTGCTGACTGGGTGTTTTATTATATTTGAAAATACGTATATCGTTCTGATTTCTCATGAGTTTAGCCCCTTTTTAAAACATAGAGTGTCAGTGTAGTTTGTTTATCTTTTTGCAAGAACATGTCTCCTTTTTTGCCAAAAAGAAAACTTTGAAAGTGCCGCTGCCACCATTTTCCAGAAAATAAGCGCTGCAAATTTCAATTCTCCCAAACGGCCAAATGGCTAAACAATTTGGGCCATATTGTGTGGTTGCATGGACGATGCTCTCATGTCCTGAGGCCAAAAGCCCCTCCAGAGCTCACTTGAGCCCAGATGATGAACTGGGTGGGAGCAAGCTCACCCCCAACACCCACCAACCCACAGATCCATCCAGCTCCAACCTAACCCTACCTAGATCCCACCTTTGCTGCGAGCAGCACTGTTGGATTGTGTGCTTCGATCCTCAAATCTGCCTTGATTCAACACCAGGTTCTGCGACTTCCCTTGACTGGTGTGGTGGCACGCTTGCATTCCTTTCTTTACAGATCCCTTGGTGCTCAGTGGTGGATTGGTGCTGCTGCTTTGCAGATCTGACGGCAGTGGGATCACTGACTGAGAAGGCAGCAATTCGTTGGGAGCCGAGGTGAGTTCATCCTGTTCTTCCCCTTTGCTTCCTTTTCTTCTCATCCTGTGAACTGTGTGCTCCTGCTCTGTTAGTGGTGTCGCTGATTGCTACGAAACCTAGATGGCATGCCGTGTTATGTTTTTAAACAAAATTAAATTGTGTCCACATTTTTTTTTCAAATGGCAGGTACAGATATGCATATCTGTATTGGTGCTACATAACAGTTGAATGGGCCTTTTCGGAAATAAATATTATCAATACTGAATTGCACAACAAGATGTATGATGCTTGACCGAGAGATCATTTCTATATGGGGCTGTTTGGTCCCTGTAATTGAATCTCATTCCATGAATGGTTATAGAAATTCTTTTAACAAAGATGATTATAGCAATTAGATTCCACCAGAAATGGGTTACCTAGAATTTGATTCAATTCAATTTTTTTGTTTGGTTGGACATGGAAACTTTTTCTTAGAATTAAATTCCAATTTTTGTTTGGCTGATTCTTAGAATTTTGTTAATTGGCGGTAACCAAGTGATGGATTCTCTAGAATGATTTAACCAATTACTGGTGAAGCAATACTCAGCTGTCAGGTGAAAGAGTGCAGACATGGAATTAACCGAAACAGGAGAAGTATTTTCAAGAACGAATGAAACTTTGCATACCTCAGGGGAAGTAAAATGGTAAGTCTTGGGGGAGCGATAACTGAAAGAGGGGAGGCTCTATGAGCTGCAGTCTCTAGAATGAATAACATTGCAAGGCCTTTTGCATTTCTCCGATGCTGGTTGAGTAACTGGAGAACAGATGCTGGTGTATTAGATCGACCCAAACCATTGGACGAAGAGGAGGGAGGGGGGCGGCGAGGTGAGGGTTATTCTGGTTGGGCCAGCAAATCTTGGGGACTCCACCGACCTCTCCATGGGCAGCTTCCGTGTCGCCAGCTGGGCATGGGCTGCTGCCGCCACTGCCGCTGCAACTGCCACGGGGCACCGCTGGCCTGCCCCTGCATGGCAGCGTCCTCCCTCAGTGCGGGCAGCTCCTGGTCGACATGGAGCACAAGTGGTTCTAGGACTGCCACATCGGTGGCAGGGTGAGGGATTGCACCAGGGAGATGGAGGTGGTGGTGCATGTCATGCAGGTGGCCCGTGTGCAGGACTCGCTTCTAGGATGGTGGGAGGAGGACGCCGACATCTCACTCAGATCTGGTGATGGATGGAGGAAGGGGCCTATTGAAGGGCCAGCACTAGGAAACCCTCCCCGCCATGGCCCTGAGAGCAGAGCTCGGGAATCAGGATGAGGGTGTGGGGAAGGGATGGAGAATCGATTTCCATATATAAGCCCGTGAATTGGTTGTGGGCCTTCATCTTCTAGGATGGAAAGCTCTGGAATCTTACTTTATAATTCCTGTGTGGATCCAAACAGACTGGTGTGGAAACTGACTCTAATTCGGATGAATTCCGACAATCCAAACAGGCCCTATATGTGTTCTATACTTCGATTTTAAATCTTACTTTGTGGTCTATGCTATTGACTTTGCCCTACCTTGAATTTATTCTGTCCTCTGCCATTAATTGGGCGCTTGGAGACTTGAAGTTGCTTAGAGAATACTATGTGTTAGCTTTATAGTTGTAGCTGTCTGTGTGCATGAAGTGGTGGTGATTGCAAGTATGTCCTTGTTAATAAACAGTAAGGATGGGTGAAAGGCTATGTTGTTGTTGTAAGGATGGGTGAGAGTTAATGGCTATCTGCTTTGCGTTTGGCACCTTATTGTCCATGTAGTAGTTAGCTTCTGCACTTATTGTTTGTTTGTGCAGAATGCTTCTGGCATTTTATGCTCAGAGGTTTTCTGTGGAGTTCAGCTTTCAGTAGAACCTCTTGACATTTCCTCATGGCGATTAAGCATTTTTATTATGGTGTTTGTCATTCTGTTTAATTTAGATTAAATGTTGTTTGAGAAAGTTAATAATATTGGATTATCTGCAGATATGGATCACTTGGACGAGCATGACAGTGATGACATGAAAGTAGGGGCAGCTTCTGATGGCCCCTCCAGACTCAGAAAGAAGAGGTCCAAGGTTTGGGACGAATACAAGCCCATCATAGTAGATGGAGCAATTCAGAGCGCGGAATGTCGCTACTGCCATATTCACATGAGTTGCAGAGGTGCTGATGGTCAATCCAATGGGACAAGTCATTTGTGGCGACACCAGAAAATTTGCCGAGCAAAAGATGGGTTTTGTCCAAGCCCACTTCAACAGGACACAGACTTGCCATATGGTATGCTTTAACTACTGACTAGGAGCAAAAGATGGGTTTTGATGGGAATGCTTGGTAAACAGCTATTGACGTGCCTGAACCGTGACTAGGGGCTCATGCTGGGTTTCAACTCTAGCCTACCCCAACTTGCTTGGGACTAAAAGGCTTTGTTGTTGTTGTTGTTTCTAGTTCCTTAATTAGTATGGAAGCTTTTAGGCCTTTACAATGGGACTTTCATTTCATGATGATTACCATTTTAAAGATAAAATATTTTCTTACATTTTTTTACTTTTAGTTCTCGCTCCTACTTTAATGTTGTGAAGGATATTAAGTGGTTAGTGCGTGTTTAATCTCTCTCAGTGGCTGACTTAAAAAGAAGCATTTTTAGAACACTTAAAAAGATGCTGATAGGATTTCGGATCCTATCGGCGAATGGTCGGAGGTTGTAAGGGTGAGAGATCGGGGGACGAGCTCGGCGACGGCTCTGGGGCGCCGTCCTTGCAGCTGATCGCAACGAAGAGCGAGGAACGCGACGAAGGCGCTACAGTATCGCGGTACTGTTCACGGGAGAGAAAGAGAACTCGGCGGCTAGGGTTTCTCCCGGCTCCCTTCAGGAAGCCGGAAACAATAATATGTTTCTGCTTACCAAATTAGTCCCTGATCACAAGTATTTATCTCGTCTATTGAAATATGAAAATAACCCCCTGATTCTATAGAAATTATCTAGACTTAGCCACTAATACCCTTTTTCGTGGCTATATCGCATGCCGGTTATAACATCTCCCGCCTGCAAGAAACAACTCGTCCTCGAAATGAAAGTCGGGAAGTGAACACGGAAATCCTCCAAGGGCTCCCAAGTAGCGTGCTGCGTTCGGAAGGCCACGCCACTTGATCAACACATGCCAGACTCCACGGCTGCTGCTACCAGAACGCCCGAGCCGGCTCGGAGAGACAATGCCACCATCGACGGACGGCGGCATGGCGCTTACCGGCAAATCTTGGCGGCTCCCCGATGGCGCTTTTTAGGAGGCTCACATGAAAGACATTGTGGAGCCGGGCACCCTCGGGAAGCTCCAAGCGAGACGCATAGCAGCGCGCCACGCTGTTTCCAGACCGGAACGGCCCAGCGAACGCTGCCCGAGCTTGTGCTTGGCGCGGGGTCCAATGCTGCGTAGTCGCGGTGAAGTAGGCGCGCAATGCACTCCAATCGTCGACGGCGAACTCGATATCGCGGTGGGCTGCGCCGTAGTACCGCTTGGCGAAAGTCATTGGCTGTAGTAGACGTTGACGAACCTCCGCGAGAATCTCGTCGCGGCCACGGAGGAGGGCGTCAGCAACCTCCGTGCGCGCCGTCCCCGGCTGGTACGGCACCATGGGCGGTGGCGGACGGCCGTAGACGACCTCGAACGGCGACGCGCGAAGGGCGGTGTGGAAGGAAGTATTATAACAATACTCGCCCACGAGAGCCAGTCCACCCATGCGCGAGGACGATCACCTGTAACACAGCGCAAGTACATAGCAATCACCTTGTTGACCACCTCGGACTGGCCGTCGGTCTGCGGGTGGAACGCCGTGCTGAGGCACAACTTGACGCCCGCCATCCGGAAGAGATCACGCCAGATATGCCCGGTAAACACCGGATCCCGATCACTGACGATGGATGTGGGAAACCCGTGCAACCGGACGATGCCGTCGAAGAATGCCCGAGCGACGGTGGTGGCCGTATATGGGTGGCCCAGCGCAATGAAATGCGCATACTTCGAGAAGCGATCCACCACCGTCAAGATGACCGACTTGCCGCCCACCTTGGGAAGGCCCTCGATGAAATCCATGGAGACGTCCCGCCCACACTTGGGACGGCACCTCTGAAAGGGTCAGCAGCAGCTTTTTAAGAGCCAGAGAGACTCCGCCTTGTTGCGCCGGCACACTCACAGATCAAGACCCGATCTTGCACCCAGTGCGATCGCCGGAACGAAGAAGTCGGAGCGAAGGCGGTGGAGAGTCTTTCGACGCCGTGGCGGCGGGAGTGGGCGGCCGAGAGCACTGGTGGCGCAGATCACCGTGGTCGGGCACGAAGATGCGGCGCCTGTGGAGAAAGCGCCCGGCGTCCGAAGCGCTGTGGCGCCAGTTCGCCGGCCGCCTAATCATTGCGGCAAGAAGAATGCGCAAGATCACCGCCAACACAACAAGGGCGGATGCCATCGATGAAGGCGAGGGGCCCGAGATGGCGACGATCGGGCGCTTCTTCCTCGCCGAAGTCGGCCATCGACTCGGTGTCGCAAGCGGACAGGCGTCACCACCCGTGTTCAATGGCCAGGCGGTGATTCGACGGTGAAGTCGAACCCAAACAGCCTTTGTCGATCCATTGGTGATGGGGTACCGTCGATGACGCCTGGTCCAACAAAAACTTCAAACCGTAATGGTCGATGCGGATGAGAAAATGACGACCCAGAGGTACGGCCGCCAATGGCGCACCGCTTGCACCAAACCAATCGCCAAGGCCATACGCCGCCTTTAAGTGACGAGCCGCTGGGGACGGGTCAAGAAAGCGAGGGGCGGCATACCGATGCAGACGACACCAAACCCCACGCCAAGCGCCGCGATCCACCATGAACAATCGGGTCGAAATCCGGCATTTGGAGGACCGGTCCAGTAGAGGGCGCGCTTGAGCGCTCGAACGCCCGCCGCCGCCTCGGCCGTTCCCACACAACGCGTCTTTTGCCGCAAGAGACGCGTAAGCGGGGCAGCGATGAGTCCGAAGTCCCGGATGAATTTCCGGTAGTAGCCGGCGAGGCCCAGGAACCACCGGAGGGCCCGGGCGCCACGCGGGGGGGGCCACGCCCGCGACGGCAGCCACTTTGTTTGCGGCGCCCATAGCGACGCCGCAGAAGAGAGATGACGTGGCCAAGGTAGGTTACCGACGTCGCGCCGAAGGAGCACTTCGAAGCGCTTGAGGTGCAGGCGGTGAGCACGCGCAGCTGTTGAGGACGATGGCGATGTGCTGCAGATGCTCCGCCCACGATGAGCTGTAGATCAGAATGTCGTCAAAGAAGACGAGCACAAACCTTCGCAGGAGCGGTCGGAGAACGTCATTCATCAGGGCCTGGAATGTCGCCGAGCATTGGAGAGGCCAAAGGGCATCACTAGGAACTCGTAGTGCCCGTGGTGGGTGCGCGAACGCCGTCTTGGCGATGTCCGGTGCATGCATGACTGGTGGTAGCCCGAGCGCAGATCGAGCTTAGTGAAGAATTGAGCCCCATGGAGCTCGTCAGCGCCTTCGTCCACCACCGGATCGGGAACTTGTCCTTGGACGTCTTAGCGTTGAGGGCGCGATAGTCGGCGCGTAAACGCCACGAATTGTCCGCTTTATGCGGACCAAAGAAAGACCGGCCGAAAACGGCGACGCGTCTTTGGGCGAATAATCCCTTGAGCTAGCATATCGCGACACTGGCGCTCCAGCTCATCCTTCTGGAGCTGGGGTACCGGTACGGGTGCACTGCCACAGGCGGCGCCCCGGAAGGAGATGGATGCGTTGGTCGTATGAGCGGGGAGGCGGAAGGCCCTGAGGCTCGGCGAAGATGGCGGCGTGGTTTGCAGGAAGGAGGCGGTCCAAATAGGGTTGCTCGGAGACGACCGCCGCGCCGCCGCCGCGATGGCGCCGCGACGCCGCTGCGTCGGTGGCGCCACCCTCACCGCGCCAGAAGATGCGCCTGCCCTGGCGCCAGAACGATAGCGTCATCGCCTCGAAGTCCCACAGGAGAGGACCCAAGGTCTTTAGGAAGTCGACGCCGAGGATGAAGTCGAAGCACCCCAAGTCGAGGCCGACGCACGTGATGGCGAAGGACTCGGACCCGACGACGAGGGGTACGTTGCGCGCGATGCCCACACATGGAAGTCGATCTCCGTTGGCGACTTAAGTTCTGGAATGAAAGCACCCCGAGGCACAAAGACCCAAAGCGGCGCATGGTGGCACTCAAGGTAGTTGTGGGTGGAGCCGGTGTCAAGAAGCGCTAGCAAGCGCACGCCTTGATGGAGACCGGCAAGAAGATAGTGTTTTCGTCATGCGGATGCCGGCCACCGCATGGAGGACACCACCAAAGCGTTGGCTCTTCAGAGGTTCGGCTGACTGTTCCTCCTTCACGTTGTTGAGGGCTCATCATCACCGCCGCGTCGGCCGCTGCCGAGAGGTCCTCGTCAATGTAATCATCAGCCTCCAAGTAGAAGAGCTGCGGGCACACATGGCCACGGACGTAGGGTTCGTCACAGTTGAAGCAAAGGCCCTGCCGGCGACGTTCAGCCATCTCCGCCGGGGAGACGACGAAAGAAAGCGAAGCGCCGTGGGCGTCATTGGTGTTAGGCGGCGGCTGCTGGCGGCAACCGGCCGCCTGTGGCCTCCTCCAGGGCGCGGCGGTGGGCAAAGAAGAACTTGCCGCTGCTGCGGCCGTGGTCCCCGGGAAGGGACCGGAGGAGCGACCGCCACGGCGCGACGTTCAAATGCCCGGGCGAGGTACATAGCCGTCTGGAGATTCTGCGGATCGCGAGCTCGACATCCACCTTGATGTGCTCGGGAAGACCACCCACGAACAACTCCGCCTTCTGAGGTCCGGAGATGTTCCGAGAGTGGCAGAGTACCGCGTTGAAGCGCTGCGAGTACTCCTGAACCGTCGACAGGAAGGGCAGCCGCGCCAGCTCGGAGATACAAGTATTCCGCACCGCCGCCCGAATCGGAGGTTGCACAAGGACTGAAGCGATCCCACGGCGGCATGCCCTCATCTTGTTCGAGGCGTAATATACACGCGTGGTTGCGCGCCCTTAAGATGGTAGGACGCGAGCCACGCCCCGGCCGGACGCCAAGGTGCTGTTGCCGTGAAAAAGCTCTCACACCGATTGAGCCGGTTCAACGGGTCCTCGTGAGCCGCCATATGTGGCGAACTCCACCAGTAGAACTTGGCAGTAGCCGGCCGAACGGCGCCAAGACGGCAGCCGGCCGAATGCTGCACCGCCGCGTCGGCCGAGGCCGACACTCGCCGCGTCTGTTGCCAGGACGCCGCCGGGATGAGAGTACCGTCCATGCCGCCGTAGAGGACGCCGGAGACCGACGGGGCGGCGTGGAACGCCGGCGCAGCTGTGCTGGCCGAGTATGGAAAGGACGGCTGCGGCGTCGTGGACGTATAGATCGGGGCCGACGTGGCCATCGCCCACGTCGGGATCGGGGACGGCGAGGGAGGGAATTGGATTTGGTGGATGGGAACAGATGACGTGCGGGGTGGGGGGTGGTTGGACGACGGCGGCGGCATGCCATACGGGTACGTGATTGCGAGGGTGGGCGTTGGCGCGGCCAGGGACGGGGGTGGCGGCGGCATAGGGAAAAGGTGCGGAAGCGGCGGCTGTGGTGGTGATCGCTGGGCGTGGAGCAGTTCCTGGAGGACGCCCCGCACCTCCTCCATGGAGGCCTGCATGGCCGCCATGTTCTGGCTGAGCCCGGCAATGGCCACCGAGGTCTGTTCCTGGGACAGGAGAATGACGGGAGCGCTCGCGCCCGCTGAGTGGGCGACGATCGCCCCAGAGGTCATGGGGGCAGCGAGCGAGGTGGAGGGCGGCGGCGATGATGGGCGTGGCGGCGCGGACAGCGGAGGGGAGGACGCGAGTGGGTAAAGCGAGGCCGAGGGCTGGGGACCTGACATCTCTGATACCAGATTGATAGGATTTCGGATCCTATCGGCGAATGGTCGGAGGTTGTAAGGGTGAGAGATCGGGGGACGAGCTCGGCGACGGCTCTGGGGCGCCGTCCTTGCAGCTGATCGCAACGAAGAGCGAGGAACACGACGAAGGCGCTACAGTATCGCGGTACTGTTCACGGGAGAGAAAGAGAACTCGGCGGCTAGGGTTTCTCCCGGCTCCCTTCAGAAGCCGGAAACAATAATATGTTTCTGCTTACCAAATTAGTCCCTAATCACAAGTATTTATCTCGTCTATTGAAATATGAAAATAACCCCCTGATTCTATAGAAATTATCTAGACTTAGCCACTAATACCCTTTCGCCGGCTATACTGCATGCCGGTCATAACAGATGCATTGTTAAACAGAGGAGCATACAATAGACTATGTACAGTGCATTGGCCTCTCATTTTTCTTTATTTCATAAATTTCGTGGTTTGTTAGTCTGTATGTTGTATGAAGCTAAAATCCTGCTTTCTTCATGGAAAATTTTGTCTTTCATTTTTTGTGCATATTATGACTGAACTATTCAAACTTTATACATTATACATATAGTGGTGAATGAAGTAGAGCCGGTGGACCAAATTCTTCCAGATTCACTTGATGAGATAAAGTTGTTGACTCATAGTGAGAATAGCAAATTCAGGTCAAAGGTCTGGAAGGATTTTATACCATTCTATGTTCAAGGGAGAGTCCAGGGTGCTGACTGTGTCCATTGCCACAAGCGACTCAGTGCAGATAAAGGTAGAAGCCATTTGAATCGGCATACTCAGACTTGTCCAGCACGGAGTGGAAATAACATAAATCATCAGAAAGGTGTGTTGTTCCAGTCCAGTATACCGAGTTCTAAATCTAGCCTTCAAGATGAGCTTTCACCTGCATTGACAAATGGCAAAGTTCAGATTGCAGAATATGCTAGTAAGTTCCTCAAAGGCAGCTCAGGCGAACGTCATGTTCTAGCTTTACCAGCAATGGATGATATGAATCCCTCAGAGCAAAATACCTCATCAGCTCAGACTGCTACTGATATAACCAGGAAACCTGACCAAGAAGCATCTTATCAAGAGTTAACTAGAATGATTATTTCACATGGCTATCCCTTGTCGATTGTCGAGCATGAAGAAATGAGAAGGTTTGCAAAGAGCCTAAACCCTGCATTTAACATGGCTTCAAGCATTGATATAGAAGAGTATTCAACTCTTTTGTTTCAGAAAGAAAAGGCTGACCTTAAGGAAAGAATTGCACTCTTGTCCCATCGGGTTTCCTTGTCAGCAAGTGTTTGGGCTCCTCATGGAGCTGAGGCCTTAGTGAAGTATCTCTGTTTGGCAGTGCATTTTATTGATTCTGACTGGAAACTTCAAAGGAAAACCATCAAATTTGGTGTGTTTTGGTCCTCACCTACTAGTTTGGAAAGGATGATACAGTTTAAGGAGGCCTGTGTGCTAGATTCTGATATTGGACCATTTAATGTCATACAGGAAGCTATAAGAGATTGGAATCTTGATCAGAAGCATTTCAGCTTGACATCTGGCAGTGAAATTAGAAATGACGAGGGAACCTCAAAGCTGATGGACTTGCTCATCCAAAGGAAATGCCTTCCTATTAGAGGTGAGCTATACAATATCGCTTGTGTGAATGATGTGCTTAACAGCATTGTCTCAAAAGGGCAACCAGTGCTTTATCATGTTGGTAACCTACTAGAGAAATTTATTCAGGCACATATGTCCTCATCTCTGACTCGACAGCAACTTCTAGAAGTTGTTTCACATATGGGATTGAAGTGCCCACAGGAAGATGCTAAATGGTGGCACAGAATTTACTTTAGGCTTGAAATTCTTCTGCATTTCAAGAAGGCATTTCCCTCTGAAGAATTGTTATCTGCAGAAGATAACAAAACTGTTGAGTCTGTTTGCAGGATACTCAGGGCTTTTTATCGTGCTGTTGAAGTGATTTGTGGTCCTGTTTGCCCCACAGCAAATATGTACTTCAATGAACTGTGGAAAGTTAGAACAGCTTTGCAAGAAGAAGCATCAACTGATCACACTGAACTTGCTAACATGGTTTGGGAGATGCAGGAAGCATTCAATGAGCATTGGCAAAATTCATATGTGTGGCTGTCGATACCTGTTGTTCTTGACCCCAGATTCAAAATTACTTTTATTGAGTTCCGGTTAAAGCGAGCTTTTGGTACCGATGCAGAAAAGTATGTATCTGCCATTCGTGATACAACAAGGGAGCTGTTCCATGAATATTGTGGTCTTTCAGATAACTTGGGTGCCGATACATCAGCTCGTGATGTTGAGTTGGATGGATTTGACAGTGATTCATTGGAAGATTGGGATGAGCATCTTAATGCACAGACAAGGAACCAACAATTGACAGAACTTGACAACTACCTTGAAGATTGTCTTGTCCCAAGGAAGGATGATTTTGATATTCTGAACTGGTGGATGAGTAATTCTACAAAGTATCCAACCCTTTCAGTTATGGCACGTGATGTCCTGGCAGTTCCAGCTTCTGCTGTTAATTTTGAGCCCGCGTTAAGCGGTGAGGTAAATGTAATACATAAGCAATGGAGCACATTAAGTATCAAAACAATCGAGGCTCTTGTATGTACCCGAGATTGGGTTAAATAGATGGTAAGCTCTTCACTTTGGTTGTTCTGTTGATTTCCTTGTTTCAGTTCTGTAAGGAAGCGTTGCTTTATTGGTTTGTCTTATTTAGCATCTTAATTGTTAATTCTCGATAAAATTTGATAGTGCACAGTTGAAACATTTCCACTTGCACCTGCACTAATATATCTTATTAGCTAGACAATCACAGTTTCCATTTTTTCTTACTGGATACTGGATAGTTACTGAAAAATAATCATCAATAGGATAGGATCTGCAGTATCTTATAGAAATAAAGGGGTTTGTTCTCAACTAACACAATATTGAAACTGTGTTAACTTCTGGTTCCTCCCACTTGTGTGCGTACATGTTTTTTTTAACCTTGTATCTGTTTCACTCCTTAATATAATGATGGTCAGCTCTCCAGCCAGTTCGAGAAAAAAAATATATTGAAACTGTTTTTCCGTCATGGCAGGAAAATGTTGTGTACTTGATTATATAAATGAGTAAATATGCATCACAGTTACAGTTAGTTTTGAGGAGGTTGCTGCAGCTCAAGGATGTCAGGGTTTGTTATAGAATTAGGTTTGCAAGTCAGGAAAATATTCAGTGCCCCCTCTTTGATGGAAACGTGAAACCATCCTAGAAAAAACATACTTAGGAGTTCTCAAAAAAATTGAAATGATGCATATCCATAGCGAATCTATAGACGTACTTCGACACAAAAGGTGAGATGTAAACTTGTTTTGTAGAAGTTTATACAAAAATAACAAATTTCAGGTGCACCTGCACTGGAAGACAAATTCCCAAGAATTTTGTCTTGTAGTGCATATGCACCTGAAATTTATCATTTTTGTATGAATTTTTCTAGATTGAGTTTGCAGCTCAACTTTTGTGTATCGTTTCAAATTGTTTGAAAACTTCTAAGTTTCTTTATCTAGGGGATTTTGACGTTTCCACCGAAAGGGGGTTTGATGGTACTTGTGATGCAAATTACTCGTGATAAATTTCAGTTGTATATGAATGAATCTGTAATCTTTATCTTTATTGAGAATTGCGAAATGTTCTCATCATGGGAACAAATCAAATACAAGCAATAGATGGAGAAATTTAAATTGCTTGTACTGCGCTGAATAGAGATATTTGTGTTCACGGACTCTTTCTAGCGGTGAGTGGTACGGTTTACAAGCTATATATCATGCTGCAGCGAACTATCAATGCTGATCATTCTTTTTTTTTTCTCCCTTTCATCATCAGATCAGAAGATCACAAGCAGTTCATAACCATAGTGCTTCTAACCTGGGAATACAGGATGATATCGCGAGTACACCGCCCATTTTATTGTGCTGTATATCAGACATCTCGCAGCCACTGGTAATGGAAGCTACCAAATGCGGGCTTCTGAGTGTTCACATGTATTATATTGTGCACATTGTTGTCTAGTGATTTTATCATGTTATTAGGTATCTGGGGCAGATTATTTGTACAGAGCCATTGACGTGCTGCTGCCTGATTGAGAATTCTTGTATGACGGCAATAGAAAGCCATTTGATGACTGATGTTCTGTTCATGTTATCTTAGCGTGTTGGTTGTGCTGTGCTGTGCCCCTTCAAAATCTGAATTTGGGGGCAATCACCAGTGCTCAGGTTTATTTGATCTACGGCTCTTGAGGCTCGTAAGGTTACATCACCATGTAAATGATTGCTGGCTTCAAATCGTACTCAATGTGGATCTTTTTTGAACATTGCGTTAATCTTGAATAGCATATACTCTGTAAACGAACGCATGGATAGTATTTAGATGGTACTTTGTTCTTCACAGACATGGATAGTATTGGATATTTCACATTTTTATCGAATATGGATCTAGAATAAGTTAGAGAAGGATAAAAAATGGATTTGAATACATCCATTTAATAAATCGGATACGAATAGGAATATTTATGATGATGCTAAAATAGATATGAATATCATATCTTTTTTTTGGATATTTAAACATTCGGATTCGTCTCTACATGCTACAGTACATAGCTTGTAACACACTGGTATGAACTAGCATCACTGTCTGACTCGAACCACAAACTAACAATAACATAACACTACCTGTTAGAGACGAGAACCAACAAAGATATTCCAATGCCGGGTCGTGGCTTGACCCGGCATATCACTGCCATTTTTGGTATGACCCAACGGTGTTCTAGCTACGCTAAAAAAAACCCCAAAACCACTCCTTCCTCTTCCCATCTACCCGAGCACACTCTAGGGTCGAGATAGCGGACTAGAGGAGGGTGAATAGTCATTTCTAAAATTAAACGCGCTGGCTAACCGAAACAAATGCGGAATTAAATCTATTGGTCTAGCCAAGACTATATCCCTCTATCTAAGTTCACAAGCATCTTATAAAGATTCTAATTAGGCAACAAAGTTGCCAGGCTAGCTAGAGTTCACCTAATTAATTCTAGAGCAAGGTCACACGAACCTATGCACTAGTACTTTGGCAACCGGGAAGCTCCTACACATGCTAGTGATGCAAAAGCACAAAGCTCATAAGCTCACTAGCAATGCTTAATAACAAGGCTATACAAGTTAAATTAGAGAGCGCAAATCACTTAGGTACACAAACTAAACAATATGACTAACAAAGTTACTCAAACCAAATTAGCCACGCAAGGGAGCTACTTCTATGCTACACAAGCAAGAAGGTAACTAGCAAGCTACTAAAGCTAAACTAGTCACAAGAGCAACTACACAAGCACAATGTAAATGAAATTAAAACAAGCTTGTGTTGCGCGGAATGCAAACCACGAGAAGATGATGAAGACAATGTTGACACGGTGATTTTATCCCGAAGTTCACTTGGTTGCCACCAAGCTACGTCCTCATTGTGTCGACTGTCACTTGATGGTTCGGCGGCTAATTGGCATCCCCCGCCAAGCCCGCACGTCGGGCACCGCAAGAACCTACACCGAAAGTGAGGGTAACTCAATGACACGCTCAACTAGAGTTGCTCTTCACGATCCCTACGGGGTGAGCACAATCCCCCTCATAAATCCTGCTCCAGAGCACCACACAATCTTCTCGCGTGCTTCAATGGAGTCGCAAGCCACCAAGCTGTCTAGGAGGTGGCAACCTCTAAGAGTAACAAGCACCACCGGCTTGCAACATGGTCACCTAGTGCCACTCGATGCAACCTCACGATACAATCGCACTAGAATCGCTCACTCACTCGATCAGATGATCACTATCAAGCACAAGTGAGTGGGCTCCCAAGCACACCTACACAAGCCATCAAGGCATAAGGGTGCTCAGCAACCAGTTCAAGCCTAAGCTCCACCTCTATTTATAGTCCCCAAGCCAAATAGAGCCATTATACCCCTTGAAGCTGTTTCTGCGAGGTCACCGGACAGGGCGGTGCTTGGCACCGGACATGGCGGTGACCTGCCCAACGATTGAATTTTAACAGTCACAAACTAGCCGTTGGGGCACCGGACAGGGTGGCGGTGGCACCGCCCTAGGGGTGGCGGTGACCACCCAGCCGTGCCCTAGAAAACCGGGTCTCTGGATAAAAGGGTGGTGCACCACCATCACCCTGGTGGTGACCTTCCTTGCTCATGCCTGTCTCTAGAGGAAAATGGCGGTGGCACCGGACAGCCCATGGCGGTGACCCGCCGCGCCCATGGCGTTGTACACCGTCACTTCCGGTGACCACCCCGACTCCTGCTGCGCTCGGCCAAGTCCAGGTGGGCACCGCCCTAGGGTGGCGGTGCCACCAGACAGCCAGTGATGGCGCCCTCAGGGCAACACGCTGCTCTCGGCCTCCTAGCCGGTCACCGCCACAGGGGTGGCGGTGCACCGGTTAGGGGGTGGCGGTGCCACCTAGCCAGCACTGTGGGGGGCATAACCTCGGATACCCACGGTAGACCACATAGGCTGCGCCCCTAGGGGTGGCCCAGCCCACAAGACGAAGCCTTGCGGGGCACGACGCTGCTCGGCATCTCCCGCAAGACACCGGGAAGATATCCTAAAGATACTACGAGATCTGTTAGGATACGTATGATCCCATGATTCCTGTAATCTGTTATTACTTTCTGGTTTTCTCCTAGATCTAACCGACTTGTAACCCTGCCCCTTGGACTATATAAGGTGGACAGGGACCCCCTCCAAACTCATGCAATATCATACGATAGCCAATACAATCCAACTGACCACAGGAGTAGGGTATTATGTCATATTAACGGCCTGAACCTGTCTAACTCGTGTGTCTCTGTTGCCTTCTTGTTCTCGATTACACGCATCTCCGCCGATCAATCTACCTTCGTGAGATACCCCTCAGAGGACTGCCGATGATATTCTATCGATAGTTAGCACGCTAGGTAGGGGTGTGCGTGCTATTTCTATATCGAACAAGATGGTATGTTCTGCAGGCTCTTCGTCCCTCCCATAGCCCAGCCAGATCTTCACGGTTGGATCGATCTCGTGGATCATCAGCGCTGACGGAGTCAGAGAGCTCATCGAGCCGATGCAGATCAATACTATGCCGATCACCCCAACACCTGTGACTGCAGATCTGATCTCGGAACCACCTTCGAGGTCGTCTTCGCCGACAATTCACCGCTCGCTCCCCCGCTACCAGAGGAGGCGAATCAACAATGATGATATGATTGCATCCATCGATTAGGTTGGCCAGAAGCTCGCCGATTGCCTCTCCATCACAGAATCAGCTCTAACCACTCTGGTTCAGCGTCGACCACCCTCTGATCTAGATCTATCGGAGGCTGCTCGGGAAACTCCAAGGGTTACGGCCCTACCCTTCGGGTTCACCAACATCGCCGCCATCTACCAAGATGCCCTAAGGGGCAAGTTCACCGACCAGGTCAGAGATGTCCAACCTCCCGTCGACCAGATCACCGACCAGCCTCCGCCGACTGTCAACATGCTACACGTCGGTCGATGCCCCGGAGCATCCCTCCAAACCATCCTGGAGGAGAATCCAGACTTCGAGTCCCAGGGCTCTACGGAGACTGTCGCCGAAACCTCCGCCGAACAACCTCCTCTCCCTCCCTTCCGTGGAGGAGCAATCTTTAATGTCAGCGTCGATAGCCCCCTGTGAGAAGGGGAAACCGAGGAGGACCACGCCGCCCGCGTCAATAGGAACATCAACCATGCGCAGCGCCGAGCAAACGAGGCTGCCCTTGCAATGGCTGAGGCTCAGCTTGACTCACAAGGAAGGCCACGCCAACTCCACCGCAACCTCGACGACGAATTTATCCGTGTTGATGGCCACGACTTCTACAAGACCCCAAGCGCCAACCTGGCCGTGGCCACCAACGAGCTCGCCAGGCTCCCGCAGACACCGGAGGTCGCCAAGGTCACCGTCATGCTTAAAGCGGCACACTACCAAGTCAATTAGATCCGCTAGGATCAGAGGCCTTCATACTCCACAAGCTCAATTCACCGATCAGCCGCGCCAAGATCTGATCGCCGCCCAAGTCATTTCACTGACCAGCATCGCGATGGCAGACAACCCCTCCAGGGGGGAGCTAGGGGCAACCGCATCGAACACCTTCGCCAACACGACCAAGAGGTCGACCAGGACATCCGAGTGCACCTCAATAATCTCTGAGACGTGCAATGACGTATTGATGAGCGCCGCTTCGATCGCCATGAAGAAGAAGTACGCCGCCGTCAAGAGTACGAGCAAGAGTTCGGTAACCCGGACTCAGCTCTCGAGCCGCTCAACACCAGCAACGCTGCAGATCACAGCGCCGACAATCCCGAAGGGCCCCCAGCATTCATGAGGGCACTCCAAACACTCCAGTGGCCCCATGGTTTCAAAATCACTGGGGTTAAGCCCTACGAGGGACGGATGAACCCCACACAGTGGCTACAGGCTTACACCACTGCTGTTCACGCCACCAGAGGAGATACTAGTGTCATGACGAACTATCTTCCCATCATGCTCACGCCAATTGCGATGAACTGGTTCACAAGCCTTGCACCGGACTCCATCAGATCCTAGGAAGAGCTGAAAAAGGTCTTCACCGACAACTACATGGCTATGTGTACTCGGCCGGGCACCAAGCATGATCTGAACCGCATCTATCAGAAGTCGTCTAAGCTCCTCCGTAGCTACATCAGACGCTTTTCCAAGATGAGGAATTCTATTCCTAACATCACGGAAGCTGAGGTTATCACCGCCTTCATTCGAGGACTCCATCACCGCGATCTTTGCTCCAAATTCAACCGCAAAAAGCCAACGGGGATTGGCGAGATGATTACGACCGCCAACCAGTACGCTGATGTTGAAGAAGACGAAGTGCGCTTCAACGAGGATGTGGGCACTCATCGCCCAACTCGCGTAGTGACGATCGCCCCGATGATCGGCGCCACAGCTACCGCCGCTACGACGACCGCAGTCACCATCGGGACAGTGGTCGTGATCGCCGAAGGATCCAAGTCTGGTCAATATCGCGGTCACTGACTAGACCACATCGTCGCCGCCGTCAAAGAACCTCAAG